GAATGAAATCGGCTTGTCTGGAAATCCCAAAATCTTTGTTAAGCTGTACGCTTCTATTCCGATGAATATAAGGAAATGAGCGACAATACTAAAATCCTAAACATCTTCCTTGGTCATAGCCCAGATTTCGAATCTCACCATGTAATCCTCAAAAGCATGAAAATCTGAATGTTTATCCAACCGTTCCAACACAGGATCCATCGCGACGCAAATGTGATGATTCGAAGTATTTGAATTATGGTATAAACTAGTAATCCAAGCAATAACGCAATTTCATCAAGAAGTGTTAGATGAGCACAAACAAATGAACTGTATTTGGAGTTCAAAATCAAAACAGTCATCAATACAGGAGAATCAATAAACTCAGGTTTGACCCTTTATGGAAGAGGAGACTCAAACCTAACCTTATCTTCTTCAAAATAGTTAACAAACTATCCTTCATATCCAACCAGGCGATTCAATATGCTGAAGCCTCACATTACGGCATTCGTAACTCCTTGTCTTTAACGAAACAAACATATTCCAGATATTCTCTCTGTATGAGTTGCTTTACCTGTAAGTTTTCTAGGCTCTGGAATAATTTACCTCAAACTATCCGTATGTTAAACTCTCTTCCATTGTTTGTTCGCTGCATTGATGCATACTACTCCTTTGAAAATGCATTAAATGCTCTAGCGCCTGTAAGTGTATCTTACTCCACAAGTGAGATTATCGGAACTTTAAATGTTTAACCTCTTACTTGCTATCATTGTTTTGTTGTTCCGTGCTCTTTGCTTCAATCTTACTTTCTCTAGTTGTCTATATTTATCAATAACTCGTTCTGGCACTAGAAATAACCTTACAGAACATCAGGCTATCCACTTAAGAAAAAATGACATGTTCCTTGGTGTTGCATTGGCCTGCCATATATAAACTATTTATCAATTACTAAACCAGCAAACATGAAACTTTCTTATATTTCATGTTTGCTCTCTACATTAAATGTTGATTTTCATAACAATCTGATGATGCCTGTAAACTGGTGTGAATTCTGTAAATATTATTTTCAGAATATATATTAATATTATTATATGATACAACGAAGAAATTGGCAGGAAGATATAGCAAACCAGAGAGACCAGTCAAGGACAAAGAGGGAAAGACAATCACTGAAATTCAGTAACAGAGGAAAGGATGGGCAGAATACTTCGAGGAACTGCTGAATAGACCAGCCCCATCGAATCCACCGAACATCGAAGCAGCCCACACTGACCTTCCAATAGATGTCACTCCACCAACGATCGAAGAAGTCAAGATGGCCATCAGACAAATCAAAAGTGGGAAGGCGGCAGGACCTGACAATATACCAGCAGAAGCACTGAAGTCAGACATTGAAATAACTGCAAACATGCTTCACCTTCTATTCAAAAAGATTTGGGAAGAGAAAGAAGAGCCAACGGATTGGGAAGAAGGAAACCTCATCATGATACCAAGGAAAGGAGATCTGAGCAAATGTGAGAATTTCAGAGGAGTCAGCTTGTTGTCAGTACCAGGAGAAGTTTTCAGCAGAGTGTTGCTGAACCGGATCAACAGGCTGGATTTCGTAAGGGTCGGTCGTGCGTCACTACGGATCATCGTTGAACAATCAGATGAGTGGAATTCTTCACTATGCATCAACTTCATTGACTATGAGAAGGCGTTTGACAGTCTGGACCGGAGAACATTATGGAAACTTCTTCGACACTTTGGAGTTACGCAGAAGGTTGTTAAGATTATCCAGGACTCATATGACGGACTACAGTGCAAAGTTGTGCATGGAGGACAGCTCACAGATGCATTTCCAGTAACGAACGTAGTCAGACAAGACTATCTACTCTCCCCATTCTTCTTTTTTCTGCTGGTTGACTGGATTATGAAGACCTCGACATCTGAGGAGATGGATGGAATACAATGGATATCTCAGAACCAATTACACGATTTGGACTTCGCAGATGACCTAGCCCTCCCATCTCATACACACGATCAAATATAGACGAACACAGCAAATGTAACAGAAACCTCTGCATCAATAGGCTCAACATACACAAAGGAAAAAGCAAGATTCTCAAATACAACACGAAGAACATCAACCCAATCACACATGATGGCGAAACTGTGGAAAATATGGAAACATTCACGTACCTGAGAAGCATCGTTGATAAACAAGGATAATCTGATGCAGATGTAAAGGCGAGGATTGTCAAAGCAAGGACCGCATTTCTACAGTTGAAGAACATATGGAACTCAAAACATTTGTCAACCATTATTCAAAATTAGAATCTTTAATACGAACGTCAAGACAGTCAGTTCTACTGTACGCAGTTGAAACGTGGAGAACTACTGCATCCATCGTCAAGAAGGTACAAGTATTTATAAACAGTTGTCTACGCAAAATACTCAACATTCACTGGTCAGATACCATCATCAACAGCCTTTTATGAAAGAGAATAAACCAGCTACCAGCTAAAAAGGAAATGATGAAAAGACGTTGAAAGTGGACCGGATATACATTGGCGAAATCACCGAACTGCATTACGAGGCAATTCCTAACTTGGAATCTTAAAGAGAAGCGAAATAAGCGAAGGCCGAAGAACACATTACGCTGGGAAATAGAAGCAGATATGAAAAGGGTGAATAACAACTGCAAACAACTGGAAAGGACTGTCCAGTATAGGGTTGGATGGAGAATGCTGGTGAGCGGCCTATGCTCATCCACGAGGGGTAACAGGCATAAAAAAGTGAGGAATACTGGAGCCAAGTGACTGTGGAATACTAATTTAATTAAACCGAAGAGATGAAAACAACACTTTTCACTGAAAATCGAGGACAAATAAACCAGTTGGTTTTTATACGCTCTACGCAGTCACATAAGATTGCTAGAATTTTTCCCATCGAATCCCTTCACTTTTGTTCCTATCTATACTTTTAAAATCTACAATAAGTACTTTACACTTAATTATCCGGAAAATGTTTCTTTAGTGTCTCTACTGAAAGACCTTTGTCTTTGTTTAACTTCTTGACTCTGTCTATATTGTTTAACCTTCATAATGGTGACTAATTTGAAGTAGGAACAAGGGTATGTATTTTTGTTCTTAAGAAATGTCTCGTCAGGGTGTATGCTAAACCATAAAGAAGCTTTGATATATAACCGTGTTGCTAGGGGATAATTACATCAACTTTAGCATCATCTCAATCTCAGTTTTCATATAACTTGACTCTGTAGTTCCTAAATGCCTCAGCTAAAATTGTGACCAAAAGATATATGTAGTGGCCGTTCTATTGGTAGCTACATCTTTATTTTAAGATTTCCTCCATCTGCAGATTGTGAAAAGGCAAAAAATGTATGATGAAACGGGGGAAATCACACTTTAGGCAAATGAAAATTTAGATATAATTTAGTATAAATAGACCTACCGCTGTTTCCACTTTTCAACAATCCAAAATGTGAATACACTTGGCCCTTCACTTTCTACATCAGTTGGCGTTTTAGTCAGAGAATAACGTACTAAAAACGTTTTCCTATTAATGTTTTCTTTATCATCCAACTGACTAACTCAAACTCACTATCATGGATAAATTCCGGGTTTTTTCCCAAAGTCATAAAAAATATGGTAGTTTTCCCCAAACTTTGGGGAAAAACCTCAAAGTGTTATAAGATTCCGTGGAAATATTAGGGGAAACCCAAAATCTCCCCAAACATTTTAAGGATTTCTCCAAAACTTTGAAGATTTTCCCCAGACCTGGAGGAATTTCGTGGTTTTTGTACCAAAGTTATCCACTTGATATAGGTGACAGACTTTTTGACAAGGTAGTAAATCTTCACCGGCTGGGGTAGTTAAAACATCATTTACGCGTGCTTAACAACCACTTACTTTGACAAGCGATGCTCAATAATGCAAAATTGGATTAGAAGAAAGCTAGGGGCGGACAAACTGAACGGGGCATCAGTCTATAAAGTCATTGGCTATTGGTGCAAATCACGTTAGTAGATGCAGACTATCTGGCTAAGGTTCGCGTGATAATGCCAATCAATGATTGGAGACTTAAGATGTCATGAATCAGAATTGGTGGGAATAGTGCAGGTACATTCATTTTTATTTCAATCGTGAATCTAGGTGTCTCTTCACATACACTTCTCCACCCCGTTTTTCCAGAAGATATTACCAAGGTCTATTATCTCTCACTGTTATTGCTACCGCATTATTTTGATGTCTCGTTATTTCCATCTGGTCGTACTGTGGTGTGGGGACTTGATCCAACACAAACCTGTAGTAGGCCGTATGTTGATAATGTCTGTCTGTTTTTATTCAAATCTTGAAATAACCTGGCTAGCATGTCGATGTATTCGAAACTATAGTAAAAATGATGACCATTTTAGTTTGTATTTGGTTTCTGTGATAGATAAGTCTTGATACCCTGTCATTGGTAGTACCCACAGCCTTGCTAGTGTGTAACAACTTTTATTCATTTCGACGTACATGTACTTGGTTAAGTAAATCACTTATTCTATGGGTAGTGTTATAACACCCTGGCTACATCGTCCTCACTTAATTGATCTTACTGAGGCGAAATCTATTAAATAATTCCTCGATTTGTTTTTCATTTGGTGATCAGTACTACATGAAAAGCAACATAATTTGATTTAGACTATTGATAACAGCTATATGAAGATTGGGTTCACTTTAGTTGACAAGGTTTTAGCAGTATCCGGAAATTCTATAATATTAATACTTTAACCAAGTCATCGATAGTTTTTGATGTTTAAGAACATCCGCCTAACTAAGCTCCATATATATATATATATATATATATATATATATATATATATATTCACCGTTTGTTAAGGCTTACTTTCTTTTTTTCTTATAGCTCAATGTAAACGCACTGGTACATATGTAAACAACACTTTAAAACAAAAAAATAGCATTCGGAGAAATCTACTGTAAAGCTATTAGTTCTTGATTCCCTACCTCTAACTCTACATGGAAATGTCTTCTTGGTCTTCAGATTTTAAAGAACAATCAAGGTTGTGCGATGATCTTGACTGTGATATGGATTATTTACTCTCTGGAAGGTATGAAAGACTGGCATCGGCCAATACCACTGTTCATTGTAATTCTGTACAGTCTTCATTTGCTTTACCAAAATCAAAAGATTCATCCTTTTGCTCGCCGAATCAGATATATCCTATAAATTCAATATTCCCTTGCAGACAAGTCATTACATGCTCATGTCGGTGTTGTGATCCATTCTCAGATAACCTCAGTTATATGACAAGTAGAGGTATAAACCAAGTACATGATAAAAACATTGGCTTTCCGAGTATTATTATGAATGATAATGATGTTGATGTTGGTAATGGCGACGACGAACAACCTAAATTAAACCTAACTGATCCATTAATGACAGATATTGCGGCTGGGGAATTAGGTTAGTATATTGGCTTTATGTTGTTATGTTTCATCTGAGTTAAATTTTATTGTTGCGCATTTTCCATACAACAAAAATTTATACTTGAACCTATTTAAATATGTACGTGATACTATACTAATTATTTATGTAGATTATTCACTAACTTCTACGTATTCATTAGTATTAGTTGTTTTTGTAAATTACCACATTTAATCTATTGTTAACATTCATTTACTAATTCCTAAGATTGTGTACTGATTTCACTAAACTAGCTTATGTCACTCGAAGTCTAATGTAATAGGTGTTTGAATGTATACCGTAGACTGACCGTTTGTGATCTAGATAAGAAACAATTAGTGGTAGTGGATGTGGGTCGGAATAGAGTACATTAAGTTGCACATTGTAAAATACATGGAATTATCTGGAAAGAAAGCTGTTTTCTCTGAGCGATCCGCAGCCATTTTGCTATCTAATCTCTGGAAGAGAGTAAGACTTTTTAGTTGGAGAATAGTTTCCAATAAACGATAGAAGTAAAATTCTACGGTAGACTGTAGAAGTGAAATAATCTTTTGAGTATACTCTGAAGTTCAGATTTTCCAGTTCTGACTCTTGAATGGAAACTTTTTAAATACTATTAAAAAACCATATATTTGTATAATTAATATGACAACTTGGGTGAACTCCGGTTGTACCAGGCTCTAAATTGATTATAACTACCACTTTTTTGAATTTTTACTTTCATGTAATTTATATTTGCTCGGACTGAAACAATGATAATCTAATATAGCACTAACCACCTGCTCACTATACTTAATAAACTTCGAAGGTAAAAGTAAATCCTAGGCTAAACGTATGATCTATAAAACGACTTCATCACACACTGTGTCCATATTTATGTTGATAAATAAACTCCATAATTTCATATCACATTGCAGTAGTTTGTAGAAGTCGACTAACGGTTATTTTGCTCCATAAAACATTTTTGGCCATGCAATACTCTGAATGACTCTTGTTTGGTTTAACTCCGAACCGTAATACTCTATAAAAACAGTGACTGGCTTTAAAAGACTGAATGTCTAGCACTCTGTAATGCTTATTCTTGGTTTTGGCTGTAAGACATGGCTTCTTCAAGGTGAGAATATTTGAGGGCTTTCTGTTTCGGCTATTGTTGTCTTTATAAAGTTGTCTGCATTCGGTAACAATATCATGGAAATAATTTTAATATCAAGTGATGTTTATGTGCTTGAGAACGGTAAACATCGGATTTTGAGAAAAGAAGCACTTATAAACATCAGTTCTAGTGTTCGTACAGGTTCTAAGTATATTGGTTCACTAGATACCATATCGTTATCAGAACTGGTTTTACGAGGTAGAAGAGTGTTCAGTCTATGAAATGACTCTTTATATGGAAAAATAACTATCGTGCCTTATTGTCTAGTAGTTTATTTAAAGTCCTTCAGTCAACTTGTCTTATGCATCGTGAAACCTGGCGCATATGTAAATCTGTCCAAGTTGTCACACTACATTGGCACGTTGAAATAAAATGGGCAAGAAAAATCCCGTGGTAGTAGAAGTATTAACACTATGATTAGTTATAGAAACGTTTATGTATAGGCATTATTATTCCAAAAGAAATAATAAATTTGCCAAACAAAAAAGCGTGACATAATTTGGAGACTCACGACCTAAGAAATTACAAAGATCGAATACATTCACTCCATTATTACCGATTCTAAGCCTTTCTGTACAACGTTTAAATTCATGTGTGTTACTCCAGAGATGATATAGCTAAATAATATAGATCATTGTCAATTGTGGTTTGAAACTAAATCTAATGATTGTTTTTAGTTTTATTTCTTCTAATTAAATATCAATCAAACCTTGGATAACTATTTCATCGTTTCTGTTACACAACGAAGTGATATAGAGTGGTTGGAACACTTGGTTTCAAACTCTACACTCCACTTTCAGTTTTGGGAACTGAATAGTATCACTAGGTCACAGTGTGATCTTAAGTTGAGTGAATAAACCAGTACCTCGTAAATAAGTTACACCTGTACTATAAATTAGGTTTGGCTTAAGGTCTAGTATATGAATCAATATATGGTTATTGAGTATCATTATTCAAGCTAAGTTTCATGATAACCATGGAATAAATACAGATAATGTCTTATGAATGAACTCTTATTCTATTATTTTATATTTTTTTTACCAGTTCATGTTGTTGATTTTTATTAAACTACTTTAAATGTGTTTACTTGTTAAGACCTATAATTCCGCCATAAATAAGCCATGGTAATTCAGCAATGAGCCTATTTTTAAACGTACATATATTTTGAAGATAACTATTAATTTATTGATATAGGGCAAAGTGTAACTTTGTAGTCTAGCTACCGAATTAAATTGCCTGTAATTATTTTACGAGTGTTAGAGATGTGGAAAATTTTTGAGCGATAATATACTCAGAATATATTTCCATATGGTATAATTGCCTCTGTTTTATTCATGTATCGCCCTGTTGGGATGATCCTGAAAATTTCTCGCAATAGACATGACAAGCTCAGGAAACATTAGGAAGCATTTTATCCAGTCAGCGTTTGATTAGAAGTCTTGCTAGATATATAGCGTTCAATCAGTGAGACGTATTAGTGGCGACGGGGAAAATCTACAATGTAAAATCACACCCTTTGACATAAACATTGAGTTGTTTAAATATTAAGCATATTCAGTGACTTCTTAGTTTCATTTGAGCATAGTTTAATGAAAACACGATAAAGTACAAGGAATAGTGTCAGTCAAATTCATTCAAAACGTGACAATCATAATAATTGTACTTAAAGTAAATGTTTGAAACCTGTTTTTTTTCTAAATACCTATGGTAGTTACGAATTAATAGGTAAAAAGAAAAACGAACAAAAATTAAATGAAAATATTCACTTCATTCCAAATATGTACAAATCCAGTATGCTAAACTTACAATCTTTTTTTTATTTCTTGGTGACAAAGCAAATGGAGCGAATAAAACAAAAATTACGGAGAAGTTCGATTGTCTGTATAATAATGATAATAACCATATGGCTTTATTCGCCCCCAAATGCCCTGGTATGGCCGAGAGTGGGGAGAGTCCGCTCTCCCTCTCAAAATGCTCTCACATGGCCACGCGTATATAGCCCCTGCCAGGGAAGTCCTACTCACTGCCTTCTCGTGGCGGGGGTATTGTTCATGAAATTGAGAAGATGAAAAGTGGATGTCCGGCGCTTTAACCGGGTTGATAGAGGTGAAAAGTCCACCTAGGGGAACTAGAAAACCCTGATTCCAAACCAATGGTGCACATGGGCTCCAGTATCCTGAAGGAACAAATGACGTATGAACCGATTGTTGGTCACCGGCTACCATGGGACTGCATCTCCTTACAATGCTCCACTGCCTTGTGGGTTAGACCTTTAGGTCAATGGCTCGGGGTGTGGCTCCCTAAGAAAACCACCTGCTTCGGTTTGGGCACCCGGGTAGTATCACAGCCCTCACACAAATAAATGAAAGGATGACTTGTACTGACAATCCTAATTACGCGCTTACTATATGCCAGACAATTTGCATTATTATTATTATTGTTATTATTACTATTATTATCATTATTATTATTATTATTATTATTATTGTGTGGCGCATATGTATCTGGTGCCCTTTTGTACCAATATGTATGTGTTTAAATAAATAAATAAAACCTAAACGTTGATGACTATGATTTTTTTTCAATAAATCTTCCGGTGAACATCATAAGCTATAATCGTTTTGGTATTGGGTTGTCGTAATGATTTTACTTTATTATATCACTGAGTGAAGTGAATAAAAAACATCGCAAAAATAAATCAGTAATAGACTGGTAGTATTCAAGTACTCACTTTATTCGATGGTGTTTTTTTTCATCAGTTGTTTGGATCCAACAGGTGATATAGTTTGAACTTAGTTGCAAGGATACCGTTTCATTACTAACTTTTTACTGTTCAATTCCATTCAACCTTTTTTTTTAAATCTGTCATTTGTCCATATAATTGTTTTGATTGAGATGAATTCATCTCCACTTCTGATCTAGTTAACGTCCTCTTTCGTTATTTTAAAATTAGATATTGCAACTTGGATCGTGATACAAATTAATGATATCTGACTTTGTCTCAAAACAAATGTTTTTTGTTTGTCACAAAATTCATATTTTTAAAATGTGGAAATATGTAAATGTACGGACTACAATGTATCTCTTTAATCTTTTAATAATAGGATCATTCATATTGCTTGAAAGTCTGTGTGATCTTATAAAAAAAACTGTGTTTTCAGTTGTTGATCTCTTTCCATGAATTTATCGATGCGTAAGTTTACTTTTATTGCCTAACCCCTATTGCATACATATTAATATTACATGTGTGCGTTCACATATAGATCAACTATTAGATGCATGTGACTCTTGAACATAAAGTAAGTACAACTGTATCATTAGTATACATGTATACATCCTGACATAGTTATTCTCATCATTGTCTCATTTTTTTACACGTTATGTATGGTATATGTGATACTTGTTTAAAAATCCATATATTGTAAGTCTTGGTATTTATCCTTCTTTGAAATTGATGTTTCCTGGTAATCGAGGTAAGTTTCACCTTCGAATAACAAATGGATCTACACTCTTTTTTTTAAATGATAAAAACAAGGAAAATTAGTCATAATTTGACTGTTAACACTAATAATTGACAAGTAGTAAGCATGTGAATAAGTTATCAATTATTTTGTCGTATTTAAAAATATGTAGAAATTCTAATCACTAAAAGGTTCATGGAATTTTAAATGATTTATGTATGTATATGCCTTCTGTTCTCAGTCATTAATCATGCATAGATATTGCTTACTTCGATTCACTATGTTCTGTAGAATAGAAGTAGGTTAGAATGATGTTTAGACAGGTAGAGATAGATTCATCTTGAGTGCTGTTAGAGGTATTTATTATTTATTTATTTAAACACATA